CATTTTTGCTTTTTAAAACTATTATACACATTTTGTATTTCCATTTTTCTTCTCCCTCCAGTATATTCATACAAATAACTAAATGATATATAAGTACTAGTGCAGAACGCAAAATCAAAGCAAGTTCTTTTGGAACATTACGTGTTATGAAGACTGAAAAAATCTAGGCTAGCAATATCAAGTAATTAATTCACCGTAAAAAAGAAACCATATGTAATATCGAACGTAAAAAAATCAGTTGTACTCCAGCAAGTTGTGTACAATCTATTAAAACAATTATATGAAACAAAAAATATAATTTATGCGTTTTTTTTCCTCCACACACTTAAAGAGGGGGGAGACTAACTATAATTAAAAAGCATTCAGATCACGGTTTTCCCTCGGGGTTTGTTTAAAAATTCGACTTCCTTAAAAAATCCTGACTTTGTATACTCTTATTAAAAATATATATATAATCTTTCAAAACCTACTCAGCTTCATTCTAAGAACAGCTTTTTCGCGACCCCGTCCTCTCGGCCCAGCCGGAGAAAAGGACGCCAACTACATGGACACAGACTCAAAGAAAACGGGAAATCGGGGACTTCCTTTGAAATACAAAGAAAATGGGAAATCAGAGCCTGACTTTGAAAGAAGGAAACGCGAGGAATACAAGACTAAAAAATGGTATGAAAGAGGTGTCAGACTTTTCAAACATATTTCTGATTTACTTATATATATACTTATATATATGTATACATCTGTTTATATACATATATATATATACATATATATTATATATATTATATATACATAATATATATATATATATATATATATATTATATATATATATTATATATATATATACCTATATCTATATGCATACGTAAATATGCATACATATACATACACATACATATATATGCATACATACATACATAATATATACATATATATATAAACATACATAATGCTTTAAACATTTCAAAGGATTTCCCGGTTTACCGCACCTTAGAGACAATGTGCGGCCAGGGTTTTTTTCTCACGTTTTTTGTCAGTTTTATCATTTTTATTTTTTATTTTTCTTTCTTTTATCCAGATATTCATGTAGGGAGAGGTTAGGGGATGTGATACGCTAATATTTAAATGAAAAAATATATAACAAAGGAACTGGACTGGCAATGTCCCCTGTAGCAACCATGGAGCACCAGGTAGGAGATAAGTAGGTTACACACGGACCGTCGAAACAAAAATGTATTGCCGAGTCCATTCGCAAACGTCTAACGATCTCTTCCGTCGCAGAACTCAAGGCAAACCAACATTATAAAATGAAAATCATAAATCAGAACTAAAGGTAAGCCTGTATCCCCGCTCCCGCTCGCCTCCGCCGGCCGTCCGTGCGTTACCAGACGGCGCAGCGCTTGGCCGGGTTCATCTTGGAGTCGGCCGGGCAGCTCCAGTCCTTGGCGAACTCCGGCAGGTTGCTGAAGGGCCCGTTCACGCGGAACTCCGCCGGCGAGTGGGCGCCCGTCAGGATGCGGAGCTTGAGGCTCTCGGGGCGGTACTTCCCGCACCACACGTTGGCGGCCGACAGCCAGAACAGCTGGCGCGTGCTGAAGGGCAGGCCGGGCAGGGGCCGCTCCTCGCCGTTGTCCTTCGCCCACTGCAGGTACGCGTAGTAGGCCTCCTTGATGCCGCCGTTGTCGGCGATGTTCTCGCCCTGCGTGTTGATGCCGTTCAGCTGCCGGGGGAGGGGGGGGGGGTTAGTGCTATCCTTAGAATCCTGGGGTGACAGACAGGCTCTCGAAAAGGACTGGATATACTTTTTCCGGGTGTAGTTTTCTAGATTGGAAGCCCAGTACAAAGCACAGTAAAACAAGATTCCAAATAAGCAAAACGCAATTAGAAGTTTCAAATTTTCGTTCTGACAGTTTTAGGGCCTACATGCAGTGGCACCGCTAAGATTTGAGATATATATCGCTTTAAGTAATCTCTAAGTAATTTTAAGGAATTTAGTTTCCAATATATATAAATTTCCAATATATGACAACCCCACGGCCGCCGCCAATCCCGAGCGACCCTTACATTCATGTTGACTTCCTTGGCCGTGTAGTTTCCGTACTGGTAGATGATGCACTTGGCCTTCTCCAGGAACTTGTCCTTGGTTTCCTTCTCCCACCAGTCGCGGAGGTCGCCTTTCTCGTCGAATTGGCGGCCCTGAAGCAAATAAAATAGATATAATAGATGAGTAGGTTGTTAAGGGGTTCATTAGAATGGTAGGTGATAAAAGAATATATAAAGGTACAAAGAATGATACGAAATGATGCAAGATATAAAGCACACTGGAAATGGATGGGACAGCTGTGCAAAGCCAAAATAGTTTGTAGTCCATAGATATTCATTTCATGCGTGAAACATATATAAGATATATTTCAAATATATATTTTCACGTTTCCAGAGAAATATATGAAGGTGTTTCTGCTTATCCATTGCTATGAATATTTGCACTGCAGAATATATATGTATGAACACATACACGTGTTTATGTACTTTTATTTAAGTGTATAGTCATGTTTTTGAGTGTATATGTGCCAGTGCATGTGTATTTACGCGTGCAAGCATGCAAGCTCTACACGTGTATAGGCCTAGCATCCATGTGCGTGTTGAGTGGTTCCGATCGCGTTTCTGAATGACTGCGAGTTCGTGCGTGCGTGCGTGCGTGCATGTGTGAATGCGCAGAACGAATGCTTACGGAGTCATCGAAGCCGTGAGTGATCTCGTGGCCGATGACGTAGCCGATGGCGCCGAAGTTCATGTACTTGGGTCGCTCCGCCTCGAAGAAGACGCCCTGCAGGATGCCGGCGGGGAACTCTGCGGGCGGAGGCGGCGGAGGCGGCGGAGGCGGCGGCGAGGGGTCGGGGCCGAGGCGCAGGACACAGGGAGGAAGGGGCGAGTTAAAGGTGTCAAAGGATACTATTCTCATCGAGTTCTTTCGAGATTTTGATGTGGGATTTCTTTATACTACGTAATGTTTCAAATATGAAGATGATTATACATACCCAAGGGAAAGATCAAGATTATATGGTGAAAATACTCATGATAATGGTAATAATGACAATGACAACAACAATAATGACACTAGCGACAATAACAACCGTAAAAAGAATAGTGGATGATGATAATGACAATAATAATAGAATAGTGATACAAAACAATATCAATAATAATGATACTGATAGTATGAAAAACAAAAAATAACATTAACAATAGCTTATCATCTTTATTATTATTATTACTATTATTATTGTGATAACAATAAAAATATAGACAGATGGATAAAATAAACATGGTAAATGAAAACATGACATATTGCCAAAAAGACCTACGTATGGAGTTCTCGAGGGGGCTGTAGAAGGCGTTGACGACGGCGGCGGCGCCGTGGTTCTTCCAGTCCTTCTTGTCGATCTTCTCGCGCAGCTTCTTGAAGGAGTAGTTGGTGCCGAAGATGGTCAGGTTCCGCATGTTCTCCAGGAGGTCGCCGTTGGAGATCTCCAGCTGGAGAGGGGGAGGGGTAAGTCAGGGGGCGTCACACGAATGAGGGAGAGGGGGGGGAGAGAGAGGGAGGGTGGGGGAGGGGGAGAGAGAGGGGAGGGAGGGAGAGAGTGGGAGAGAGAATGAGAGTATGAGGGAGAGAGGGAGAGGGAGAAAGAAAGAGAAAGAGAAAGATAAAAAGAGTAAGCGAGGAGCGGTCCGTCACCATATATACAATATATAATTCAACACTCTTTCCACAATACACAACCAAAATCCCGACCCAGCCCCGGCCAGCAAGCTTCCCCGATGCCTCACCCCGTCGTAAAGATCAGTGAGCTTGTCGTCCTCGAGGAGCTCGGGCGGGTAGGCGATGTGGGGCGTGATGGCCTTGGCCTTGGCCATGGCCCTCTCGCGCGTGGCCTCGTCCATCCAGTCGATGGAGCGCAGGATCTCGTCGAACTCGGCGCGGATGTAGCGAACCATCTCGTCGGCGGCGGCCTTGGCGTCCTCCTTGAAGAAGGCGCGGGCGTACATGGAGCCCACGGCGTGGCTCAGGCTGAGGGCGCGGGGGGGGAGGAGACGGGTTTAGAGGAGGTTGGAGTCGTGTGGTTTGAAGAGAAAAAGATAATAATATTGTTCATTTTCATCATTCGATAATATCTCCATGCGTGAATGGATGTTGATAACGAGGACAACGACTATTACAACTACTGCAATTACAACTACAACTACAACTAAAACTACAACTAAAACTACTACAACTATAACTACTTATAAAGCTACAACTACTACTACAAAACCATGCACGCGCCAGCGGCCTCACCTGCCCGACACGGAGCCCATGCACTCCTTCCAGCGCGGCTCCCGGGTCCCTTTGCCCACGATCTTCTTGGAGTACTGCAGCTGGATGTCTCGGGCGTCGTCGGTCAGGTAGCCCACGGAGGCAGCCGTCACGCGCCACCATGTAGTTGGCGATCACTCTGTTGGGGGCGGGGAGGGGAGGGAGGGAGGGGAGAGAGAGAGGTGGGGGGAGAGAGAGTGTAAGGGGAAATGGAGAGGGAGGGTTAGGGAAAGGGAAAGGGAGGGATGAGGGGAAGGAAAGAGGGTGAGGGGAAAAGGAAAGAAATTAAAGAAGAATGTGGAAGAAGGGCGAGGAGAAGGGGGTGAGGAAAAGGGAATGGTGCACAGAAGGGGTTAGGAACGAGGATGGGGAAGAGAGGAGGGCAATGGCGAAGGAAGGAACACGGGAAAGGGGCGAGAGCAAGGGAGGGAGAAGAATTTACGGAAGGGGGGAGGGGTAGGGAGAGAGGCGACGGTCAGTTTAATTGTATCTGTTTTGCTTTGGAGTCGAAGTCATTTAGCATATTGGATTGTCGCTTGTTGTATTTGAGACTCACTGATTTAATTTGTGTAGCATTTGCTATTATCTTTATTCGTTCAGTATAAAGAACAAATAAATTGGAAGGCTTAATATTACCCATTAGTATAATATCACAACAATGGTATGATTAATATTCACTTAAGACTGAATTGCAAAAATACTATTACATGCTACCAATCTCTCCTCGATGATATAAAATTTCCTGAAAGTTTTAGGGCAGTATCTCCTAAATCCCATTTTCTTTTTCCTCTTGTCAGCGACTATTTTCATCCCCGAAAAGCTACATATCGCTTTTCTGTTCCCAGAATATTCAAGTACTTAAAATTTCTCACACAATTACTATATATCTTGCTACATATTTCTTTATCGAGGCGAAGATACACCTGATGGCAATTAAAGATAGGTTGACTGGCTCTTTTTTAAAGGTGATATAGTATGGTAATTCAAAGGCAGGGGATAATTATTTGATATCGGACAGAATGTTGAGGAAAGTGACCATAAATGATAGGTTGGTGGTAATTATTTGATAAATGATAGGTTTGTGACGATTTTTATTTGACACAGGACATTGTTATCAGGCCATTTTGCCTTCAGCCAACCGTTGCTAACCTTTCAAGTACATTTTCGGTTCGATAGAGAGAAAATCAATCAGTCAATCTACCTATCTATGCCTATTTATCTGCCTATCTAACTGCCAATCCGCCTATCTATCTGCCTATCCAACCATCCATCCATCCATCTATCCACCTATCTATCTATCTATATACATTTCCTCACACCTTCCCCACTCTCATTTAAATTCCCCTTCCCTCTATCCACCTCTCCTCCTCTCCCTTCTCCTTTCCCCCATCTCTCTTTTTCTCTTCACTCTCTTCCTCACCCTTACCTTTCCTTCTTTCCTTCTTCCCCCCTCCGTCACTTCCTTTTTTCTTGCTCTTGCCTCCTTCTTTCCTCCCTCCCCTCCTCCTCTTCTACTTTCCTCCTCCTTTCCTTCCCTCTCTTCTTTTCCTATCACATACTTCTTTCCTCCCTCCTCCTCTCCTCCCCTCCTTCCTCCATTCCCCTCACTCTCTCTCTCCTTCGCTCCCTTCTCTCTCCTTCTCCTTCTTCCTACTTCCCTCCTTCCTCCTCCCTTCCTCCTTCTCCTACTTCCCTCCCCTTCCTCCCTTCCCCTATCACTTCCTTCCCTACCGTCTTACCTTTTGGGCGTTCTTGTAAGGAGTTTGCCGAGGTTCTTCACGTAGTCCGGGACCCCCACCACCACGGGCTCATCGATGTTAATCTAGAAAAAAGATAAGAAATGAAATTAATATGAAGAAATAAATATGGTAAGGCTGGTCGATACTTTTTTGGTTTATTTGGCTTGTTTATTATGCTTGGGTGCCACGCCGAGACGCAGGCAATGAAGGGCAGGCACATGCAGACAATTGCGCGCTCACGAACAGACACAGACAGACGTCCATTCAAGCTCACTGACACTTATGCACTCGCACGCACACGCGCAAACAATAGGAGACAGACAGATAGACTTTCACTCTCTCACTCACTCTCTCTCACTCTCTCTCACTCACTCACCCACTCACTCACCACACCCACTCACTCACACTCACTCACCACTCACCACTCACCCACTCACCCACTCACCCAACTCACTCACCACTCACTCACTCACTCACCACTCACTCACTCACCCACTCACTCATCACTCACTCACTCACTCACACTCATCACTCACTCTCACTCACTCTCTCTCACTCACTCACTCACTCACTCACTCACATCTCTCACTCTCTCACTCTCTCACTCTCACTCACTCACTCACTCACTCACTCTCACTCACTCACTCACACTCTCACTCACTCTCAGTCACTCACTCTGGATTCATCGTCACACAAAACAAGATGTCTTTCCAGTTGCGCTGGTAAAAAAAAAAAAAAAAAAAGATGGCAGTGCAACACGACTTGAGGTTTGCGAACAAAAAAGTGGAAAACCGCTTCCTCCTCCTGCTCGAAATCTGAGCACTGTCGTCAAAGAAAATTTCACGGAAGATCGCCACATCAGATGCGCATTTTTTTTATTCTCGAGATTTCTCTTATTCTTTGTTTTATCATTTGTCAGATTCTTTCCCTATTCACATCAACGTTTTTGACGTTGAAAATGATAGAGTGCAATTTAATATCAATCATTCTTATACAGTTCTTATCAGTTTATTGAAATAAATGAATGAATAAATAAGCCTTTTTTATGTATATATTTTTTTACAAGACCATTTCTCTCTGTGTTGCAGATTTCACGCCCATTCTTTACATTCTCTCACGCCTACAGGAGTATCTGTCTATGAATCCACCGATCTACTAATTTATCTCTCCATTGATTATCTACCTGTCTATCCATACATCTATCCATACATCTATCCATACATATCCATATCTATCATACATCTATCCATCCATCTATCTATCCATCCATCTATCTATCCATCCATCTATCTATCCATCCATCTATCTATCTATCTATCCATCATCTATCTATCTCCATCTATCTATCATCCATCTATCTATCCATCCATCTATCTATCCATATCTATCTATCTTCCATCCATCTATCTATCCTATCTATCTATCTACCTATGTATCTATCTATCTACTACTATGTCTATCTATATCTACTATATGTATCTATCTACTATGTATCTATCTACCTATGTATCTATCTATCTACCTATGTATCTATCTACCTATGTATCTATCTACTATGTATCTATCTACCTATGTATCTATCTACCTATGTATCTATCTACCTATGTATCTATCTACCTATGTATCTATCTATATCTGTCTGTCTACCCATCCATCTGTCTGTCTACCCATCCACCTATCTATCCATATACCCATCCACCTATCTATCCATATACCCATCCACCTATCTATCCATCTATTCATCCATATGTCTGTCTATCCATCTATTCATCCATGTCTGTCTATCCTCCATCTGTCTGTCTATCCATCCATTCATCTGTCTGTCTATCCATCCATCATCCATCCATTCATCCATCTGTCATCCATCCATCTGTCTGTCTATCCATCCATCTGTCTGTCTATCCATCCATCTGTCTGTCCATCCATCTGTCTGTCTATCCATCCATCTGTCTGTCTATCATCCATCTGTCATCTCCATCTGTCTGTCTATCCATCCATCCATCTGTCTGTCTGTCTGTCTATCCATCATCTGTCTGTCTATCCATCCATCTGTCTGTCTATCCATCCATCTGTTGTCTACCATCATCTGTCTGTCTATCCATCCATCTGTCTGTCTATCCATCCATCTGTCTGTCTATCCATCCATCTGTCTGTCTATCCATCCATCATCCATGTCTTATCCATCCATCTGTCTGTCTATCCATCCATCTGTCTGTCTATCCTGTCATCCATGTCTGTCTATCCATCCATCTGTCTGTCTATCCATCATCTGTCTGTCTATCATCCATCTGTCATCCATCCATCTGTCTGTCTATCATCTATCCATGTCATCCATCATATCATCCATCAATCCATCCATCCAGATCCATGTCTATCCTATATCCATCCTGTATATCTATCCATCCTCCATCCCCCTATCTATCCATCCATCCGTCTATCCATCCATCCATCTGTCTATACATCTGTCCATCTATACATTCATCCATCCACCCCCTCCACCCTCTATCCACCCACTTACATCACCCTAAATCCACCACACAATCCATCCCCATCACTCATCCCATCCACTCATCCATTCATCCAGCCACATCCACCACCCATCCCTTCCACCAACCCTCCCACCCCTCCCACCCCTACCCAAGCTCACCTCATGGAAGGGACTAAGAATGGTATTGAAGTATTGCAGCCATGGGATCTCGGGCACTTTCTCTTGCAATTCGGCGACGGTCATCAGGTTGTACAGTTTGGTTGCATTTCGGCGTTCTTCTTTGGGCAGGGAGTACTGGAAAGGAGATGGAGGAATGAAGGAATAGGGATAATCAGGATAATAGCAATGGTAACAGATAAATAATGATGATGATAGTAATAGTAATAGTAATAATGATAATGATATTAATAATGATAAAAAAATAGCAATAACAGCAATAATATCAGTAAAGGACGTAATGGTAAGAATGATAATAGTAACAAGACAACAATAACAGCAATGATAATGATAATGGAAAAATTAAAACAACAACAGCCATAATAATAATAAAATGCATTACATAAATAAAAGTGCTGTAGTTTAGTAAAAAGAAAAATGAATTAATAAAAGAATCGTTTTTGATTTGTTTTCTTTAATTAAAAGGAGAGTATACATATAAAAAAGTTGATAAAATATGAGGTGAGAAGATAAGAAAATTGAAAAAAAATTGATTTTTGCATGTAGAACATAAAAAGAACTGAGAAAATTAACCGTTTGTTGAAGTATTAGAAAAGAAATAAACAAATAAAAAAGAAGTAAGCAATTTTTAAAAAAGTGTTCTGGTATCAAAAAGCGGGAAAAATAGTTAGAAAGAGAATAGAAAAAAAAGGAAGTGACAAAGGCTTATAAAAGGATAAGAAAAAATAGAGGAGTGTTGGAGTGCAGAGAGAGAGAGAGAGAGAGAGAGAGAGAGAGAGAGAGAGAGAGAGAGGAGAGGAGAGAGAGAGAGAGAGAGAGAGAGAGAGAGAGAGAGAGAGAGAGAGAGAGAGAGAGAGAGAGAGAGAGAGAGAGAGGAGAGAGGGAGAAGGGAGAGAGAGAGAGAGAGAGAGAGAGAGAGAGAGAGAGAGAGAGAGAGAGAGAGAGAGAGAGAGAGAGAGAGAGAGAGAGAGAGAGAGAGAGAGGAGAGAGAGAGAGAGAGAGAGAGAGGAGAGAGAGAGAGAGAGGAGAGAGAGAGAGAGAGAGAGAGAGAGAGAGAGAGAGGAGAGAGAGAGAGAGAGAGAGAGAGAGAGGAGAGAGAGAGAGAGAGAGAGAGAGAGAGAGAGAGAGGAGAGAGAGAGAGAGAGAGAGAGAGAGAGAGAGAGAGAGAGAGAGAGAGAGAGAGAGAGAGAGAGAGAGAGAGGGAGAGGGAGAGGGAGAGGGAGGGAGAGGGAGAGGGAGGAGAGAGAGGAGAGGGAGAGAGAGGGAGAGAGAGAGAGAGAGAGAGAGAGAGAGAGAAGAGAGAGAGAGAGAGAGAGAGAGAGAGAGAGAGAGAGAGAGGGAGAGGGAGAGGGAGAGGGAGGAGAGAGAGAGAGGAGAGGGAGAGGGAGAGGGAGAGAGAGAGAGAGAGAGAGAGAGAGAGAGAGAGGAGAGAGAGAGAGAGAGAGAGAGAGAGAGAGAGAGAGAGAGAGAGAGAGAGAGAGAGAGGAGAGAGAGAGAGAGGAGAGGAGAGGAGAGAGAGAGAGAGGAGAGAGAGAGAGAGAGAGAGGAGAGGAGGGAGAGAAAGAGAGAGAGAGAGAGATGAATGTTAAAGACCGTTTAATAGCGAAAACAAAGAAAAAAATAGTTGTGTTGGTATGCGGAAAAAGGGAGAAAGAAGCAGAGAAGCGTTGGAGTGTAAAAATAAGAAAACAGTACGAGTAAAAATATCAAAACGGTTAATGTTGGAGCATTATAAGATTATACGCAGGCTTAAATGATACAGAAATTGCTGTCAGAAATCATAATACTACGTGCAAATACAAATAATAATCATTATGGGAATAATGAAAATTATTTACTGATGATGATCATGATAATCAGGAAAAATATATCCACAGCCCTCATAACACATTGACAACAAGTGATAATGACAATAAATAACACAATAAAAGAAAAAAAAATCATAATCACAAAGATAATTACAAAAAAGAATGCAAATACACACTCATCACAGATCTCGCGCCTACGTAATCGGTCAAAAATAGAAATCGATAAGGGTAGAGCAAATAATCCGAGAAAGGAGAGGGAGAGAGAGAGGAAGAGAGGGGAGAGGAAGAGAGGGGGAGAAGGAAGAGAGGGGAGAGGAGGAGAGGGAGAGGGGAGGGAGAGAGGGAGAGAGGGAGGAGGGAGAGAGGGAGGAGGGAGGGAGGGAGGGAGAGAGGGAGGAGAGGGAGAGGAGAGAGGGAGGGAGAGGGGAAGGAGGGAGAGAGGAGAAGGAGAGGAGGTGAGGGGAGAGAGAGGAGAAGAGAAGGAGAGAGGGAGAGAGAGAGAGAGGAAGAGAGGGAAAGAGGGAGAGAAGAGAGTAAGAAAGGAAAAGAGAGAAGAGAGGAGGGAAAGAGAGGGGAGAGGGACAGGAGGAGAGGACTGAAAGAGAGAGGAGAGATAGAGGGAGATGGGAGTGGGGGAGGAGGAGGAGGAGAGAAGGGAAAGAGAGAGGAGACGGAGGAGGGAGGACAGACGAAGGAGGAAAGTGGGGAGAGAAGAGTGAAGAGAGGTGAAAAAAAGACAACGACGGAGGGAGAAAGACAAATAGAGAGAGAAAGAGAGAAATATAGAAAGACACACAGGGAGAACGACAGAGACAGAGAGAAAGACCGAGAAATATAGAAAGATGGAGACAATGATAAACAGGCAAAGAAAGGCAGAGGCAGAATAAAACAAAGAAACCACAAAAAAATATAGAACCTTACAAAACAAACAAATACACAAATTCACCCTCCCCTCTCCCCCCTCCCAACCCCTCCCCCCTCCCTCCCTCCTATTCCCTATCAACCCCTCCCCCTCCTCCCTCCTCCCTATCCCTCCCTCCCTCCTCCCTATCACCCCTCCCCCCTCCCTCCCTCCCCTCCCTATCAACCCCATCCCGTCTCCCTCCTCCCCCTCCCCTCCCTCCCTCCCCCGAACTCACATTGGCGATCGGATCTCGAACTCCAGCGACTCCTTCAGCTCCCGCTCTGCCGTCTCCCTGTCCGCCCCGAGGAGCTCCGCCATGCTGATCTGGTAGTTGTAGTAGGCTTGGACGTCGCTGTCGTTGAAGCCCTTGAGTAGGTACTTGCGGGAGGGCATGCCGAGGGGGGGCTGGTCGATCTAGGGGGTGAAGGGGGCGGAGAAAAGGGGGGGAGAAAGAGAAAATGAGGAGGGTGGTTTTGATGAGGGACGAGGTTTGGGTTCTGGGGGGTTGGTTGTGTGTGGAGGAAGTGTGTTTTTTTGTTGTTTTTTTTGGGGGGTGGGGGTTGTTTATGTTTTTGTTTTATTGGTTTTGTTTGTGTTTTGGGGTTTTGTTTGTGTTTTGGGGTTTTGTTTATGCTTTTTATTTTGTTTATTTTGAGGGGAACTTTTTTTGGTTTTGTTTTTGTCTAAATGTAGGCGTGTTGTGGTGGAGTTGTGGTGGTTATGTTGCGTTAAGTAGCTTATGTTGGGTCCCGCTAGTTATGCTGGTAACAGCGTAGCTCGTCTCATTGGTTATGCTATGCTATCTGATAGGTGTTAGTGTTACTTTGTATTGGAATAATTTTTTTCCCATTCATGTTAATTAATCAACTTAATGTAGATGTTGTGACTTAAGGCCATGTAGTGTTTTTAGTTTATGCTGTGTCATGGAATCCATTAGTGTTATGTGACTGCATTTTCCTTGAATAACTGATAAAAATATTTATAATCATTAATAATATCTAATGATCTGGTAGAAAAGAGCTCAATCTCTCATTCAATTGTTAAACTATTACAGGAATGAAAAAGAATGTAAACTCTATGTTGATTATCTTGAAAAGGTTTATAATCATCGTTTATATAAGGATGCTTTCTACTGAATCTGTTTTCACGGGAAATTAAAAAAACACACACACAAGTACACACAAGCACAGACCCACACAGGCACAAGTACACACTGATTCCCCTTCGTCACTAACGCTTACTCTTACCATATCAAAACAGACATGCGCAAAATAATTGACAGACAGGATGACAGACATATCATCTCTCCCACTCTTTTAACACACAGGCACCCACTCCTTACTCACCTCTCATTCACTCACCCCTTACTCATTCTCGCTCATTCTCTCACCCCTTATCCACAATATGCTTACCTCTTACTCACTTCTTTACTAACACACCTCTCTATTCCCTTATTCACACACTCAGTCACTCACTCACCCCACACTCACTTCACTCGCCCACCCACTCACACTCTCTCACTCGCCCACCCACTCTCTCACTCGCCCACCACTCACGCCCACCCACTCTCTCACGCCCACACTCTCTCACTCGCCCACCACTCTCTCACTCGCCACCCACTCTCTCACTCGCCCACCCACTCTCTCACTCGCCCACCCACTCTCTCACTCGCCCACCACTCTCTCACTCGCCCACCCACTCTCTCACTCACTTCGCCCACCACTCTCTCACTCGCCCACCCACTCTCTCACTCGCTCACCCATCTCTCACTCGCCCACCCACTCTCTCACTCGCCACCACTCCTCACTCGCCCACCCACTCGCTCACCCACTCGCTCACTCGCCACCCACTCGCTCACTCGCCCACCCACTCGCTCACCCGCCCACCACCCTCCACTCACCCACCTCAGCACGCCCTCAGGCCCTTACGTCGATGATCCTCCAGGTGGAGTTCTTGATGTTGGTGGTGACGGAGAAGTCGAAGATGTAGTCGAGCGAGTAACCCAGTTTGCGGTTGATGTAGACGTTGGTGTGCCAGTCGAAGGCCGAGGAATCCCAGGACGAGCCCTCCACCACAGGCCAGCCGCCCATCTGCGTCAGGATCTCCTTGAGGGGGTTCAGCCCGCGCTCGTTGATGCGGTCTGGGGGGGGGGGGAAGGGGTGGAATGGGGGAGGGGGAAGGGGGGGAAGGGGAGAAGTTAGAGAAGGAGGAAGGGATTAAAGGGGGTAGGGGAGAGAGAGAGGGAGAGTTAGGGTGGTTGAGCGAATCGTTTCGAATAATGCATATAATGCTACTGGCATTAATAGGCAAACTCCTCACTATATAAGAAGAACTAATAATTATCAACAATTATAACGACAATGACATGTACCAATAACAACATCAATAGCAAGACCCCCCCCCCCGCAGCCCGCCCGGAGCCCCCGAGCCGCCTACCAGTGTCCATGCACGACTTGTAGAGGTTCTTGACCATCTTGGTGGCGGGGGAGTCGTCGTCGCTGGGGTCCGCCTCGACGAGCCCACGAAGCTTCTCCTGCAGGTCGTCCGAGATCTCGTTGAAGCGCGACAGGGACGACTTCTCGTCCGGGATGATCTTCTTCTGGAGGAAACCGCCGCACGAGAACCGGAAGAAGTCGTCGCACGGGTTCACGGCCTCGTCCATCGAGTCGATTAGTTTCGACGCTGAGGGAGGGAAGGGGGCAGGAAGGGGGAGCAGGGAGGGGGAGCGGGGATGGGAGGACAAGGAGGGGAGCGGGGAGAAGGGGGGAGGGACAAGGAGGGGGACGGGGAGAAGGGGGGGAGAACAAGGGGGGCGGGAGAAGGGGGGAGAACAAGGAGGGGGAGCGGGGAGAAGGGGGGAGAACAAGGAGGGGAGCGTGGAGAAGGGGAGAACAAGAAGGGGGAGCGGGGAGAAGGGGGGGAGAACAAGGAGGGGGCGGGAAGAAGGGAGAACAAGGAGGGGGAGGCAAGGAGGGGGAGCAGGGAGAGAACGTTATTAGTAATGGAGCCTGAGTCCATGCGGGAGCTGGTGAGTGAGTGAGCTTACAAGACTTGTATGTGTGTGTGTGTGCGTGTGTGTATAATGCCAGTGAAACTAGAGCTGAATATTTTATCTATTTATCTATCTGAGAGAGAGAGAGAGAGAGAGAGAGAGAGAGAGAGAGAGAGAGAGAGAGAGAGAGAGAGAGAGAGAGAGAGAGAGAGAGAGAGAGAGAGAGCGCGCACACTACAAAATACAGAGAGAGAGAGAGTGAGAGTGTTATGTACATGCAGATGAGGCTATCTATGAGCAATAATGAAGTGAAAGTAGTTAAATCAGTGTTTTTGTCAGATGGTGTAGAAGTTGGTTTGTAAAATAGGCATGTTTTGTTATACTCGACATATTCTTCCGATGATAGACCCTAGTTTCCTTACGAGACTTTTCCCTGTAGCGTGACAATGCAAAACTGGGATTCTTTGCAAACTAAAGAGTGAATGCAATGTAATGTCATGCGACTAGAAAGAATCTGATTACCGTTATTAAGTTAATGACGATTATAAGTTCTAAAGAAGCCCTTGAATCCACATCAAAGAGAAGCCCTGGTTACACGTGTATGACATTCCTGCGATAAAGCCTCCTAGATATGGTCAAATGTCCCGCCATTTGGCAATATTTAGTGAAGCTTCAATTCTCAGGTACGTCAATTCTACTCTTACCTTGATATCTAAACAAATATTTGTTTTTATATCTAATTTATCTTCCTATATTTAACAGTATATCATCTACAAATCTAGAGATTTAGAGAAGAAACTAAACCCACTTAGAAAAAAAGAAAACGGAAAAGAAAACAAATACAAAAACATTAAGAGCAAAAAAAAACAAAAACAGATTAATACCCATATTCATAAGATGATAACGTTAAAGGTTTAAAAATTAGGTAAAGCAAAAACCAAAAGCAAAAACAACAGCGGAGGACGAGGACCCGCCCGCACACTGGGCCCGGCATCCTTCGACCCTCCTGCACCGTCGCCTTACCTGCCTGGACGCATCCTTTGGTGAGGCACTTCTCGCTGGGACTCTCAGGAAGCGTCTCCTGGCAGGCCGTGAGTGGCTCTGCCGAAATAAGTGCCAGCTGTGAGGTTTCTGTGAGGGGGGCGGGGAGGAGAGAAAGAGGAGGCATGCGGTTAGGTGCAGCAGACGGTGACGAGCAGCAGCATTGACGTGCAGCACACAGCGGTGACAGCAGCAGACGTGGGAACCGGAAAAGCAGCGACAACAACAGCAACAGCAGTAACAGATGTTCGGAACACGTGCGCGCATATATTTTTTTCTTTCTCGTGCAAACAACATGCTAACGTGCAAACTGATGGTTCGTCCGTCTTTGTCGAGGGTTTTGTCTTTTTTACATTTTTCTCCTTCTGTCTCTATTCTCCTTTTTTCTTCAAATTCTTTATTCGTGTCATGGGCATTGTCTGATGTATTTCGATTCTTCAAAAGAGCAGTGGATTCTATTGTTATAAGGAAATGCCTAATTGTGGGGGGAATTTTCAATTTATAAAAGCGGAACACGTGGAGCAAATGTTCGAGAGTGAGTGAGTGAGTGTGAGGGAGAGGGAATATAAGTAAGTGTGAGAGAAAGAGAAAGAAGGAGAGGGAGCGAGAGTGGAAGTGGAAGTGGGAGTGCGAGTGGGAGAGGGAGTGGGGGAGGGATTGGGAGACCGCGGGAGTGGAAGGAGTGGGAAGGACCTGGAGATGCTTGTCCCTGTACCTGCTAACGCTTACATTTAGGCTTATGTTTACTTTTCATTACATCTGCTCAATATTCCGCAATGTCTTCACTAATACTGGAAATCTTTAACAGTTATATTTCTACCCGAGTCCGTCCACAACAAAAGAAAAAAAAAACGTTGTCTTGACAAAAGTTAAGAGAAAAAGTAAAACAAACAAATCAAGGGACTTTCTCTTTATGGAGATGAAATCTTATAAATAAAAGAGTCCAAGTCGTCATTTTTTTGTCTTTACTTTTAGGGAAGTTGTTTGCTTGGCCTGTCTGGTCGTTCGGATGTTTGAAGCCGCGTTCTTATTGTATTTTTCTTATTTTATTCTAAAGTCGTGTCTAATTTATCATTATTGTATTATGACGACTTTTCTTGTATTCTTTTTTGTGTTTATTTCATCAGTCAGATGTTGCCTGGATAGTCTTAGTAGTATTGAATGGTTGGATAAAACTATCTCTTTTATTCGAATTAGTCCTTTGTAGTCGAGGGACGTTGGCTGAAAATGCAAATCTATCCTCCACTTTGTTATTCTACTTAATCATTTATCTATCATCTTTCTATTGCATGCTCCATTATCGTCAGAATTATTCTAAAACACGATGGTCATTGTCCATAATAAAGAAACCAACCCTGCCAAATAAGGGAAAAGGGAAGGGGACGTAAAAAAGACAATAACTGAAAATTACAGAAAAAAAACTTGCGTCCAAGTTAAGACACAGGCGTTTTCTAGGCGTCCATTTCCAAAGTCGAAATTTTACAGAATCAAAAAAAGAAAACAGTGTTCCTCTTTTCGTCCTTGTCGACATGAGTCACGCGGTCTGTTGTTGTTGCTGTCGTCTGCCTTCTCGGTTTACGGTATTTCAATATGGTCTTCAAATATTCAGTTCTCATGTCTTCTCTCATCTAGCACGAAAGAAGTCTGATGTGTTGCCAGACTTACGATATGTCAAATTCTGGTCATTTTATGTCATTATCCCCCCCCACCCCCATCCCCACTCTTAGCATAGTGTCTAGAAAAAAAATCCCAAAATGTCCTGTTTCGCTCAAGAACCGTCTCTTCAAAATCCAGCAATGAACAGAACTTCCGTAAAGTTCTATTGCAGCAGATGTCACAGTCCTAACAGTTATAACAACTCATAATATCCCGGTCCCTTTGTCAAAAAAATCTTTCGTCAGAATTCCCTATCCCAAAAGGTGCATTTCCAGCAAGCAAAGGCGTAATATTTCGTATGGAATGTCTGGATGAAAAAAAAAATGGTAATGGTATTCTACAGCGTCCTCGGAAGGTTCGGTCAAGAATTTATCTTTTTTCAAATGTTGAAGTACATGGTTCTTGTCATCTTCGCTGAATGTAGAATGTGATCGTGCACATTCGAATGGCATTTCTTATCACCGTAATTACGTCATTACGTCATTTGTTGTTTTCTATTTGCTTTTGTCAGTACTTTGCATCTGTCACTGTCGCTTTGTAGACGTGACGAACTTTCGTAGATTCTGTCTCATTCTCTGTGCCACTCTTCCGGTCTGTCTGTCTTTGTGTCTGGCTCTCTCACTCTGGCTATTGGTCTGTTTGTCTAACTATGCATGTACACGTGTCTGTGTCTGTATCCGCGTGTCTGTCTATCTGTCTGTCTGTGTGTCTGTCTCTCTCTCCCTCTCTCTCCCCCTCCCTCCCTCCCTCCTGTCTACAGCCCAGCAAAGAGCGGGTGCGGTGACTTGCTCTCGCTGCCTCCACTTTCACCGCACGTGTTACTATATTTAGTTTCCCAGTCACACTTGTCTTGGTACCGCTGGAGGGAAACCAACCCTGTGGAGAACATTTTCCGCCACAGTGTCTCAAAGGCTGCCTATGGAGGATAGTAATCTATTGAAAATGAGCACACGCGCGCACACCGTACCGTATATACATCCAAGTGTGTGCATATATGTATATTCAATAGTGTATATGCATACAGGTACAGCCTATACAGAAATGGGTATGCTTGCATGTAAACACATCGTACACACAAACATACTCGCGACGTAAAGATGCACACACTACATCCACACGCATACACGCTGTCAATAAGAGAAACTTTCCAATCACAGTTTCCATCCACTCTCACCAAAGGTTTGGTGGCAATGTGTGTCTAGCATGTCCTTTCATGCGTGTCTACGGTCCCATTAAAACTGCTTTGTGGTTTTAGCGTTGAAAAAAGAACACCTACTAATTAATGTATTCATATATGTATATATGCATATGTATATATATGTTATATATAAATTGCAGAATCGATTGCTATTTTCTAATGCAATATGAAAAATGAAAACTCTGGACCGGTCAACGATAGAATGACAGTCTGGTCAGTGTAGTCAGAGTCTAATATCCTAAAGTGCTCCGAAAAAAGAGGAAAAAAGGAAAATATCCTTCAATCATCCTGATGGGATTTGCTGGACAAAATCCCCCCCCCCCCCCCAATAACGCGAAGGAGAGCAACGAACAGCACACACATGCCTAAAATAAGAAAAAAAAAGAATCGGGAGCCACGAGTGTAATTATCAAAAAGGTTATACGTTGTCTCGCCTTCTTGCGTCAGGCTGGGTGTTGACCAGCCTCAGGATTGGCCCGCGCCGGGCAGGCTTGTCACCCAAAGCCTGAACTAACGCCGTTATAAATGGTCGCGGGATACGAAACGGCTCGTTGAATTAGTGTCAATTCGTTGAATGTCGTCTGTTGCGTGGGTCCTTATTCCTACGTGTCAGTGACATTTGTACTGTCCTTTGTGCTTTCAAATATTATTTGCGCGTTTCAATAGTACTGGTATAGTTCTTTATGTTTTAATACTAACTGTGCAGTCCTTTGAGAGTCGCTAAACTATTTGCCAAGTCCTTTATACCTTTCAATGATATTTGTGCAGTCCTTATGATGTTTCTATAGTCCTTGGTATATTTCAATAGTATCTGTAGAGTCCTTTTACCAAATAAGGAAAGGAAAATAGATCGACTTTTAGTGTCCTTAGGCGGTTAGTCTGATGTTCCGTACTTAGTAAAGTGTCTAGTCAAGAGTAGTTAGTCAATACAGATATAATTGTACTTCCATAGGAATAGCAATAGTCCCAGTATTAATAGTCACCCAGGATTGTGTCAAAAGAGTCGATAAACCAAATCATTAATTTACACTTACTGGTTTATTTATCTCTTAAAAAGGCAAGATGATTTGATGTCAAGTTCAAGGTCCCAAAAAGATGTCGTAATTTTACCAAGCGAGAATCCGAACGCTCGAGAAAGATTTTGAATTAGAAAAAGAGCTTTCCATGGTTAGATTTTTCAAAGCGGGAAAACAGGAAAGTTTATGCTGTTAGTTACCGTAAGGATGTGCAAAAGAGTTATTTCGTGCGTGAAATGAGAAGTGTCAAACGCAATCACAAAGAAATGGTTAGGCTATCACACAAAAAGAAAAAGGAAACCGACAAGGAAAATCAAGAAGTTCAGAGTTTGGCTTAGTGAAATGAAAGCACACACGTTAGTTCAGAGCTAGAAATACAAATGACATCAAAATGGTTAAAATGTGCTTATTACTAGAAAAGATAATTATATTCACATTATTACAAATACTATTGCAATACAAGATTATATGCATCATACATATACATACATAATATATGTGTGTATATATATGTATATATACGAGTATATATATATATATATATATCAGAATAACAACAATACTCAAAGACTTTACTGTATGTGATATCAAAGCAAGCACGAGCATTGAAATTCATATGTTTCTAGTTGTGGACTTAAAATTAAATCATCATTCACTCGAATATTAAAATGTAAAACGACGATCATATAACTGCAACCTTGCCAGCCGAAGGCATCAAAAGATTTACAAAATATAACGAGATTAATTTCCAGTATGTCACAACCATGAGTATGATGGATGCACTTGCAACACACCAATCATAAGGACGATTTTTCTGTGTAATGCGAGTAAGCTCATAGTCCTTACTGACCAAGAGCTTCTCTAAAATTTTCTATATTAGGCAAAAAAGTCTGGATTTACACATCAAAGAAGATTCCATTGTTTGAAATAGCGGACGAAACTAAACTTAATTTTGCTAAGTTGGTTATGGAGTAAAACTTCTTTGAGGAGTGGGGGTGAGAGGGAGGAGCCAGAGAGAAACCTCGGTGGAGAGAGAGAGAAAGAGAGAGAGAGAGAGAGAGAGAAGAGAGAGAGAGACAAGAGGGTGAGAGAGAGACAAGAGGTGAGAGAGAGAGGGTGAGAGAGAGACAAGAGGGTGAGAGAGAGACAAGAGGGTGAGAGAGAGACAAGAGGGTGAGAGAGAGACAAGAGGGTGAGAGAGAGATGAGAGAAGAAGAGGGTGAGAGAGAGTGAGAGAGAGACAAGAGAGTGAGAGAGAGACAAGAGAGTGAGAGAGAGACAAGAGAGTGAGAGAGAGACAAGAGAGTGAGAGAGAGACAAGAGGGTGACAAGAGAGTGAGAGAGAGACAAGAGAGAGAGAGAGAGAGTGAGAAGAGAGACAAGAGAGTGAGAGAGAGACAGAGAGAGAGAGTGAGAGAGAGACAAGAGAGTGAGAGAGAGACAAGAGAGTGAGAGAGAGACAAGAGAGTGAGAGAGAGACAAGAGAGTGAGAGTGAGAGAGAGTGAGAGAGAGACAGAGAGTGAAGAGAGAGAGAGTGAGAGAGAGACAAGAGAGTGAGAGAGAGACAAGAGAGTGAGAGAGAGACAAGAGAGTGAGAGAGAGACAAGAGAGAGTGAGAGAGAGACAAGAGAGTGAGAGAGAGACAAGAGAGTGAGAGAGAGACAAGAGAGTAAGAGAGAGAGAGACAAGAGAGTGAGAGAGAGAGAGTGAGAGAGAGAGAGAGTGAGAGTGAGAGAGAGACAAGAGAGTGAGAGAGAGACAAGAGAGTGAGAGAGAGACAAGAGAGAGTGAGAAGAGAGAGAGAGAGAGAGGAGTGGGAGAGAGAGAGAAGGGAGTGGGAGAGAGAGAGAGAGAAGAGAGTGAGAGAGAGAGAGAAGAGAGTGAGAGAGAGAGAGAAGGGAGTGGGAGAGAGAGAAGAGAGTAGGAGAGAGAGAAGAGAGTGGGAGAGAGAGAAGAGAGTGAGAGAGAGAGAAGAGAGTGAGAGAGAGAGAAGAGAGTGAGAGAGAGAGAAGAGAGTGAGAGTGAGAGTGAGAGAAGAGAGTGAACTGAGAGAGAGAGAGAGAGACCGACATAATCAAAGAAAAGAAAACAAAGCAAACGACTTCACATAAAGAGAAGAAGAAAAAAAACAAAAGAAAAAATATAATCCACCTCCACTCCCCCTCCCCCCCTTTAAAAAAATCCCTAACCCTCACCCACTAAAACCCCAAACAAGCCTGAACCGCCAATTACCCATCACAACCACTAAAACCGCATATAACGCAACCCTGATTTAGCGTATGGACTCGAACGACACGATCGGGTTGCGCAAAACCGATTCCCTGTGTCCTTGCAGCCACCAGTTAGGTATAAATTCCACTGCGCTTTTAATTACCCAATGCTAGATCGAGCCTTGTTATATATGATACGTTTTTTTCATGGGCGTAAATTGGGTCATTTCCTTGTTTGGCTGTTTGCAAAGGTGGCGCATTTCTTTTTAATAAATTGATTGTAATGATAATGCTGATAAGGTTTAGACTAATAAGGAATGATAACAATAACAATCAAATTAACAATATTAATGGTAGTAATAACAATGAATAATAATAATAAATATCTAATGACAATGAATAACAACAATGTAATAATTATATAAAGACAATAATAACAATAATGAAAAGCAATAATGCAAATAAACAAGGCAGTATTGACAAAAACAAAACCTCGTGTTATTTCAAACCAACACAATAAACGCCCCTTTGCACCTCCCCTTGCCCCTCTACCCCCCCCTCTTACCCTCACCCCTTCCATACAACATCCGATCGCCCCCCCCCCTCCCCCTTTAAGCTGAAAACACCCACTGCAGGACGAAAGCAACACATGCAATATTAGCAACGTTTCGCTTCTGTCCCCCACCCCCCACCCCCACCCCACCCCTTCGCACGTAGCCCTACAGCGGAAGTCGGTTAATACGCTCGTATGTAAAGGGCGGCTTGGCTGCTGGCTTGCTCTCATTTACGTTCAGTCAGGCTCCTCCTTATTATTCCCTTCCTTCTCCTTCTCCTTCTCCTTCTCCTTCTCCTTCTCCTTCTCCTTCTCCTTCTCCTTCCTTCTCTTCTCCTTCTCCTTCTCCTTCTCCTTCTCCTTC